ATTGTATACATATGCATATATATATATATTGGATGTAATTAATTTATTTAATTTTTTTGTAAGAGTTTTAATTATTATTTTGTTTAACAAAATTGTATTTAAAAATTATTAACTGTCGATTGGAAGATTAAGATCTTGGAATTTGGAGGAAGAGCTGAAGAACTGCTGTAAAAAATATGAAATGGTCAACTGTTGTTATATTTTAATCGGTTGCCACCCACATTCGGCTGGTGGTACAAATGACGAAGCATTCAGTTCTTGTGTATGGCATGCTCTCTTTTTTGGAATATTTAATTCCTCACGATCAAAATAACGATAGATGTACATGTAGATAATCATCCTCTCGCTGTTGTAAACGACAAAGCATTCGTTTATCGTGTATGGCAAACGAAGAGTTAGTGTATGGAATGTTTAGTTCCACACGATCAGGATATGATGGGACGATTGATGGTAATCTCCCCGCAGACGGAATGCCCCACAGTTATAGTGATTCGGGTAACTCATTCGTCGTCTCCTTAGCATCAATTGCACCACATTGTCGAAGTACAAATTCCAAGAATGGCGTGGCAACGACACGTTCAAGGATTGTGTACAATCCATATTTATCGGAAACCACATCACAACCAGGCCCAGCACCGCCACCACTATTATCGCATTTCACCAGCACCACAAATATTTTGTTGTCAATCCCTATGGTATTGCGTTGCAGCGGAAAGTACTTCTCAACGTTATGCCAATGCCACTGTTGGGGGTACGGCACTCATAGCATATTACCTTCTATTATCGGAGATCAAATCTTTCATAGAAAATCAGACATTGTAGAAGATTCGATGTTCCTTTTTATAGAAGAGCCGATGGTCTTCTTTAATAGAAGATTGGAGGATTATTGAAGATCACATGGTCTTCTTTTATACACAATCGAAGGGTTGGAGTTTATGGAAGAGCTGATGGTCTTCAATTATTGGATGGCAGATGGTCTTCTTATATATGGAAGACCGGATGGAATTTTTCATAGATGGGCAGATGGTCTTTTTTATAGAAGTTTTTTTTATATAAAAACAGGTGGTTTCTTATAGAATAATAGATCAGATGGTGGATAGCAGAAGGGCTTCTTTCTTATGTATGGAATATCGGATGGTATTTTCTATAGATGTGCAAATGGTCTTTTTTATAGAAGATTGAAAGATTTTCTTTAAAGGAAAAAACAGGTGGTCCATTATACAATAATGGATCAGATGGTCATCTTAAAAATCGAATGGTCTTTTTTGTAGAAGATCTGATAGTCGTTTTAATAGAAGATCTGAAGATATTTTATAGAAGATTGGAAGATAAACAGATCTACATTTTTTAAAAGAATGATTGAAACAAATTTTCTATAGAAGATCGGACAGAAGAGCAGAAGATCAGAAAGTCTATCATTATAGAAGAGAAAAGTGGTGATATTTTATAGAAGAGTTTCTTTTATAGAAAAACAGGTGGTCTATTAAGGAATAATAGATCAGATGATCATCTGGAAAATCGAATGGCCTTTTTTGTAGACATTCAGATGGTCTTTTTGATAGAAGAACTGGTGGTATTTTTTACTACTTTACTTTAAGTAGAAAACCAGACAGTCTTTTATAGATGATCGGAGGGTCTGCCCTTATAGAAGAGCAAATGGTTATAATTTAAAGAAGATTGGAAGATTTTCGTTCAAAGAAGTGCAGATTGAATTCTATTATCGGAGAGCAAATGATTTTCCTTTATTGAAAATCAAATGGTCTTTTCTTGTAGAAGGTCAGATAGTCTTTTTTTTAAATAAGATCGAATGGGTTGCCGTTATAGATGAACATATGGGCTTTTTATTGAAGCTTGAAATATTTTTTTAAGAGAAATGCAGATGATCTTCGGGGCAGTTCGGAAAGTTCTTAGCCTATCACAAAAAGCGCGGTATAAACAGAATAAAAGTTAAGTGTTTTGGAAACATCCATCTCTGTTAAATTGTGTTTCGATCTGGCAACTCCTTCATATAAAAACAGGTGTTCAAAAAAACGCATCAACAACTTTTTTTACAATGAAAGCACACATTTCTAATTTTTCCATTGTAAAAAATTACGAATGCGTCTTTTTTGAATACCTGTTTCTATATGAATCTCTTGATAGAAATTTCTTTATATACAATTTTTTCGCATCTCTTAAGAGAGAATTTTCTCATAAGTATTTTTTCATATGCCATTGTTTCCGCTTTCTTTTTCCAAAACCAAATTTTGTTATATATTTTTTGTTACCTCTCTTAAAATTTTTTTTTTGAAGGCATACTGCGATATTCTCATATTTTTTTCTCTTTATGTTTTCTTCTATTCCTTATTTTCTATGTTATTTACTCTATTTTTTGTTATGATTTTTTATTTTTGTTATATATTTATTGGTTATTTTTTTCTTTCATTATTATTATTTTTTGAATTTTATATTTTCAATATTTTTTTTTGTTGTTGTATATATAATTTTTTTCTTTAGTTATAGCATTAACATGTTTTAGAAATAATATGTAAGTTATAATTATAATTTTCTTGTGCCATATGTATATTATTATTTTTTTCTACTCATTCATAACATTCTTTAAGTTCGTAATTAAATTGAAAAAGCAAATAATGCGTTAAAGAAAAAAAAACATTTATAAATGATAAAAAAAACACAAACAAATTTTTTTAAATTGGTGGTACAATAAATAAAAAAACTAAAGTTTATTATTATAATTTTTGGTAGGTATGATTTTCATTTCCCTTAGGATTAGTATATTTGCGGGAATATTAAAATATCAACACGGTTTTTTTATTATTATCAATTCTATTTATTATAATTTTTTTATATATACCTACATATAATGAATTCAATTTGAAGTTTAGTGGTTGTTTTTTTAATATTTTCTATTTCTCAAATAAGAAAATAAAAAAATTATCAATTGAATTTGCTAAAAATATAAAACAAAAAAAAAAAATATCATATATTTATAAATTATTATTATATATAAAAACAACTATATAATAAATAAAACAAGGTTACAATATATATAAAATATAAACAATTTGATTTTTATTTCATTATTTTTAATATTTTTGTACAGATTATCAAAGACTGGATTTATTTTCAATAACTTTTTTTAATGATCAAAGAGAAGTTTTTTTTTTTAATTTTTAAAGGTTTTTTTTTTGACAATAAGATTGTCAGTCCCAATGGCGTTGCAGAGGAAAGTAGTTCTCAACGTTATGCAAATGTTGGGGGTAGGCACACATAGCACATAGAAGAGCACCTGGTCTTCTATTATTGGAAAACGAATGGTCTTCTTTTATAGAAAATTAGATTTTTAGAAGATTCTATGTTATTTTTTATAGAAGAGTAAATGGTCTTCTTTGTTAGAAGATTAGAGGATTTTCTTTTATTAAAGATCAGATGGCCTTCTTTTATGAGACAATCGGAGGGTTGGACTTTATGCTAGAGCATGATAGTCTTCAATTATTGGATAGCAGTTGGGCTTCTTATATATGGAAGATCGGATGGTATTTTCTATAGATGTGCAAACGGTCTTTTTATAGAAGATTGGAAGATTTTCTTTACATAGAAAAACAGGTGGTCCTATTATAAAATAATAGATCAGATGGGCTTCTTTCTTAGATCGGTATAGATGTGCAAATGGTCTTTTTTATAGAATATTGGAATATTTTCTTTTATAGAAAAAAAAAAAAAAAAACAGATAATCGGAGTGTGTCTCCTTATAGAAGAGCAAATGGTCATAATTTATAGAAGATTGCAAGATGATCGTTTGAAAAAGTGCAGATTTTATTCTATTATCGGAGACCAAATAATCTTCCTTCATTGCAAATCAAATGGTCGTTTTTTGTAGAAGATCAAAAAGCCTTATTTTTTTAATAAGATCGAATGGGTTGCCGTTATAGAAGAACATATGGATTTTTTTTTATAGAAAATTTAAAGTTTTTTTTTGAATAGAAAATCCTTCAGCTTCACTTTTTCTATCAATCAAATCAAACTGTCTATAAAAGAAACCCAACTGAAGATATTCGATTAAAGAAGATGGCCAACTGCACTCTGATAGTACGAGGGCAGTTCGAAAAGTTCTTAGCCTAGCACAAAAAGCGCGGCATAAACAGAAAAAAGTTAAGTGTTTTGGAAACATCCGTCTCAGTTATGAACACATGTTAAATTTTGCTTCGATCTGGCAACTCCTTCATACAGAAACAAGACGCATAAATATTAAAAAAAAATATTTTTCAAAATTACCGAGATATTTTCATAAATTTTTCAAGTGTTTTTTTAATGTCAATGGTTGAATATTATCAAGGTGTAAATACACATTATTTAAAAAAATTAAAAAAAAAATATAAATAAAATTCAACATTTGTTTGTTGTTCACCTTCTCGGGCTGGTGTTGATAGGTGCTAAGTGTTATTGTTTAATAATTTTTAGACGATAATTAATTTCAATTCCTGCTTCTTTGATTTGCTATATAATCAAGCATTATGGTTGGTTTTTTAATGTCTATCCTTAGTGAAGGTTTCAAGAGGTATTATCGGTTAGGTTGGCGGGTGTGACAAACATTTTCTCAATTAATTTTAGAGCCTCATCATTGTTGGCAATTTACAACAAAACGTTTGACCAATGCTTCTAGGCCTATCGCACACTCTACCCCTTTCTAGGCCAATGTCACTTTATTTCCTCTTGCGAGCTAAGGAACCCAAAGCTGTTACTTGCAAAAAAGAATGAACGACATTTACATTTTAATTAAACATTACAATTTAAAAATAATAACACTTTATTACATTTTCTTATGATCACTATTACAATAAATTCTCTCGTTATCAACACGATAACGTATAACAAAATATTTTAAATAAATAAAACAAAAATATAATATTTTTTGTTTGAGGGGAGGAATATCATCAGTTGCATTCGATTTTGTTGTTTCTCTTCTTTCAATTCTTATTTGGTTGAGTATAAAACTAAATTTATTGTAGACAACTTCCATTGGCTGCTGCTGCTGATGATGACGTTGACGGCGTATCAGATTTTACTGTTTGTTGCTTTAATACTCTCAAATCTGGATATAATGCACCAGCTTGAATATATTGAGATTCATGTTTATAATCGTATTTATACTCTTCGATCACAGCCTTGCCCGAGTGTTTGACCAACTTCTTGGCAATACCCTTGGGTAGCATATAGTTGACATTACGGCTAACCACAAAGGCATTACCCAAAGTATCAAAGGTTTCGGCCGCCACGGAACTGGCTGTGTGGCCATATCTGTGAAAGGGAGGAAATCTTATTATATAATTTCTTTATATTCAATGTTTTGCTTGCAACTTACTTATGATCAATAATTTTCACCGAATTTTCACTTATATTATTGCCCAAAATTGCTGCGGATTTTTCCAAACCATCAACAATGGTCGAAAAACCCTCCACCGCACCCGCAGCCACAGTCAAGGCATTTGTCATTTTCGTATTGGCATCATCCTCCGTTAGGCCACATGTTTTCTGCAGTACATTGGCACCATGATGCTGGATATGCGGTGCCAAATATTTACCAATTGCCACCGAGGCGGTGCCCACTTTATTCGCCACCCAACCTGTAACACCCACCGCCGCACTAGTAACACCCTTGGCCACAGCAACTGTATTATGCACTGCCGGGGAAATGGGTGGTGGATTTTCAGGTGCTGGTTTCAGTTTTGATATAATATACGGTGTACTCTTTCTCATCAACTCTCCGGTCTTTTCGGCACCCTTAATTAGGCCACGAGCTATGAAATCTGCTGTGCTAACAATGTGCTTGGAAACCTGTTGGCTAGTATCACGTGGTGGTCGGACAAATGCCGTTTCGGGTATTTGTTCCACGGTGCCAGCCAACACCGCCTCCAAAAGATCCAAAAAGAATTGTTGCAAATCGCCAAATGCTTCCTCAGAGAGTTCAGGAGGAGGACACAATATTAGACCAAATGCTGAACCCATTTCATCGGACTCCAAATCGGGTAATATAAAAGCTCCGTATTCGGTATGATAGCATGTTGTTACCGTCGACACCAGCGGATAAATCCAAATCATGTCATTGCAATTGGACAGGGGAAGGACAGATGAAGTGGCGGCCAAGCCATCCTCTTCCATGGGACTGGGTATGTTGGGGTCTTTAATGGCACATTGTATGAAATATAGACCATTTAAATAACTCCAATCACCGCCAATGGTACACATTACCAAGGACATGGAGGTTTCGCCCTAATGAAATACAACACCAATAAAATTGAAGCATTTAATTTTGAATTGTCAAATATTTCCACTTACCGCCAACATTCTAACTTCTCCATTGGGCATAATTTTGTACAGCTTAACCTTGGCCTGAAACAGAGTATCATACAAAACTGAACTATTACGATCGGCCATAATATCCCGTAGGCCTTTGGTAATCTGTTTATAGGTTTTGGCAGGGCCACCACCTGTATTGCTAATATCATAATAGGTTTGTGGATTTTCCAATAAATTCGATTTCTTCTTTGCCTGAGGTTCACCATTTATTTGTGGTTCTCCTTCTTGGGCTTCAATGGCTTCAGTGTCGATAGGAGCATGTTGTTGTTTTAGAATTTTCAAACGATAAGTAACCTCGGTACGTGCCGCTTTCAGTTTTTGTATTATCAAACAGGCATCATTCCATTCCTTTTCAACATTATCCGTATTATCGGGTAGACTGACCGGTATGGCAAAACTTTTCTCAATTAATTTGAGAGCTTCTTCATAGGCGGCGATGGCATCTAGAGGTTTGTCCAATTCTTCTAGGCCTATGGCACACTCCACTTGTTTAAGGGCATATTTATTGGCCTCCTTTATTTGCTCATACGAGCTGAGAAATTCAGCATCGGTTGTCATGGCTATAATCTGGAAGGAAACAAAAGTTATAGAAACTCAATTAATATCAGATGGTTGTAGATTGGAAGCACTGCAAGGAGGTCTGTTATGCTATGAGAAACTGAAAACTAGAATCTTAGGGTGGTCTGTCATTGTCGGGGGCTATTTAAACAAATGAAAACCCTGTCGATGTCACGTTAATCCAAGTGTCACCACTGGGGACGACGATATGTCATGAGACGTAATTTACTCCAAAAATATAAATTTATTGTAAACTCCTACCTTTTTACACTTTCAGATATTGGTGGTAATCCTGTAATTCTTTGATTTTTCTTAAAAAACATAAATTGCGTTGAATAATTGAATTCATTTTTCTATTATAAGCTAAACCAAACCTCTAGGGAATTAATTCAATTTCATTGTTATACTTAGGACAATGCGAACAGCTGATTGTGTGTGTGAATGTATGTAAAGGCAAAGGTCACTGCAGTTACGTTATTGAATAAATTCTTGATTAACAATATCCTTTTATTATTTTATTATACATACTTTGTTTATATTCACATCCATATCCAACCATTTTTTATCGCCCATCATGATGGAAGAAAAAAAATCACAGAAAATCACTTTAACTAATGTTTACTCGAGCACTATTTAAGAACAACTGGCAGCATTTTTGACAATTCTGTGGCATGCAAACGTTTAGAGAACAGCCTCCTTTTGGGCTTGCTCATCCCCACGGATGGACCTTATGGCTCGTTCATTCATGATTTTTGCTGAAATGTTTGGTTGTTTGTTTGACAAAAATTGAATTTATGCCAATTTATGAGAGTGACCCAACAGAGAAATAGAAAGAGAGCGGGAACTATCTTGACCCTAATAAGATTTACGATGATAACGAAATTTGACAATATGCTGGTGCTAAAACGTTATAAAGGTAGCTAAATTTAAATTTCAATTTAAATATTATATTGTATTAAAATTTTTGACATTAACAAAATATAAGTTGATGCTGCTGTCCAAAAAACAACAAAATGTGAGCGAGAGCATGCCATTTTAGTGAGATTTATGACGTTAAGCCAATTTGATGAGATGCTGTTGCCAAAAATAACGGAGAGAGTTTCACAAAACACAAATGAGAAGATTTTTCATTTATGACGTTAAGAACAAGAATTTGAGAGGTGATGATGCGGCTGCCAAAAAACATGATTTGTTATGACTACACACAAAAACAAAAAAGGCGGCAAACTTGACAATGATGAAATTATAAGTGTGCTTGGCAGCAAAGAAGGAAAAACAAAATTGCAAGCTAATTCCTGTGCGTCATTTTGTCGTCAGATTTTTGTGCGATTGCTGATGGAAGATGATTCATTTATATCGTATGAGAATACTACTAGACGACACAATAATAAGAAAACCACAACAACAACAAGTGCAGAGAGGAGGAATCTCGATGGCGTGTGTGAGGTGTTTGGGAAATAATGCTTTGCATTTACTGTGGGTTGACCAATGCCTAGAGTGCAATTGTACTTTACCTATTGGACTTTGACTGGTAAGTAAGAAAATTGTCAGTAAGTAGATGATGTGCTGATAATTCAATCAATTGTTCACACGTGACTAGGGGTGTAATAAGAGAATTGCATTAGACATTAGGAGAGACCCATTAGGTAAGGAAAATTGTTTATTTGATTTTTTTATGTATTTTTTTTTAAGTTTAGGCTCAGGCTTTTTTTTTTTCGAAATTTTTACCCTTTGTATGTCTGTCCCCCTGATGAACCATCCAAATTTTCCGGGTTATGGGATCACTGAAAACCCGAATTCGTCATTTATGATACGATGAAGGGGCTTCCTCAAAACTGTGGATCGAACGCCGTTCATTTTTAATTTTTTTTTACCACATATAGACCTATTAGGGGAAGTATTAGGGAAAAAAAGATTTTTTCAGGAGACCATAAGGCGTGGATTAAAAAAAGGATTTTTTCAGGAGACCATAAGGCGTGGATCTTTAAAATAATATTTTTTCAGGCGTCGATTTTTAAAAGAATTTTTTTTTCAGGCGTCGATTTTTAAAAGAATATATTTTCATGGGACCACTGAGGCGTGGATTTTTAAAAGAATATTTTTTCAGGCGTCGATTTTTAAATCATTTTTTTTTTCAAGGTACCACTGAGGCGTGGATTTTTAAAAGAATATTTTTTCAGGCGTCGATTTTTAAAAGAATATGTTTTCAGGGAGTATATTTTTTTTAAGGGAGCACTTTTTTTTCAAGGGACCACTGAGGCGTCGATGTTTTAATAATTTTTTTTCAAGAGACCACTGACGAATAGCTAATGATGCTTTGCAAAATAAGATAAACTTTAATAGCCTAACACGTTGTGAAATTGTTGTCGTCATATGCGGTGTGTTTTTTTTTTATCAACAATTTAAATAAACAATTATGAAAATATTTTTCAAATTACTCAACATTTGCTATTAAATCGTATGATCTCAAAAAAATGTCGAAATATTTATTTCAATCTGCATATGTGGAATATTCCATTGGAATTTCTTTTCAGTAAATCAGTCACTTCGAATACAGAAATCCAATAAATAAAAAAATTGCAATCACCAATTTCCTCACAGAACAGCGATTAAATTGCAAATCTTGCATTCACAGACCATGCATAAAATGAACTATGGACCTTGAAGGGTACTTCGGGCGGACAATACATAATCTCATATTTAATGCACCTTTTTAAATCTTCTACTAAAAACAAACAGTTTTCTTTAGGTTTATAATACAATATATTATTTATAAATTCCAACACTCACCACCAGCAATTATTTTTGTTGTTTATTTCACTGCAAAGTAATATTTGCGATTGCTTTCGATTTGTGCTTATTACAACAAATTAACTTATTTTTGTTTTGCAAAATTCCTTAGCAGCTATTGCTAAATAAAAAAAAGAAACAGGTTGCACTTGTTGGTTCTCCGCCGCTATTAATCTCCTCGCCACCTTTATCGTTTGCTTTCCGCGAATGTTTCTTATGTTCAACAATTAATTAGCCTTTTAATATGACTGTAGACTAAATGTCTTATCAACATTTTGAAGAAAAACAGTTAAAGATTATTATGTTTTTTATGTTTATTTAATAAAATTATCTTTTCGTTGGTCGTCGTTGTATTAAAATGAATTGACTTATTCTTCTTCTTCCTTAGTGTAACCCTACTAACTAAAGGGTGAGAGAGAGAGCGAGGCAGACTTTTGTTTATGTTCTTTCAATTGATAACAGTGTTGCCGTTTTGACATCATGATTTCAACCATGATTTAAAAATACCCAAAAAGGAGCAGTCACTAACACTGACTGCATCATTTGGAGATTTTCCGGTCCATTGTGATCATCTAAGGCTGGTGATGCTTGGAAAAACAAATTTGATAGACTGTTATCGTGTTATGGTTGAGTTCCGGATACATACATGGCTATTGGCACAATTGCTCTGATAATCTACAAAATAACTAAAGAAAAGTTTCTACCAATTTTTGTATTATAAATAAAAGTCGGCATCCATAATCGGTAAAGTGTTATAACCATATGGTCAAACTGTTATAATTTGTAGTTACAACAGTCGAACTTTATGTTTAATTGCATTTATTAAAGAAACCTCTCAAATATGTTTACTAAGAAGAGATTTCAGCAACATCACTTTTCCAAAAATATATTCCATATGGAAACTATTTTGCTGAAAATATTTAGATATCTGCAAAAGAATATATTTCGTTTTATATTTTATATGGTTATTTGTTTCTGAGATTGAAATCAAAATTTGGCTCAGCTTATTTTTTTGGCTAAGCCCGATGTTCTATCTTCTTTTTTATTGAGATCAAAAATTTATTAGTTTTCAGTGTTTTCCATTAGGTAACATTTTCAATTTTTCATTTTCTTAATGATTCCAATAATTCACTTAATTTCTTAATAAATACATCAATGTCCTTACGTGTAATGCCAATGGAAGCAGCCGCCGTAAGGTATGGCAAGCAAGCGGAATCTTCATGAGTACCCCAATCTGTAAAAATATACATCAGAGGACATTTTCTATATTTTTAGTGCATAATAAACTCACTTTTAAATTCATAACCATCTATAGATTTAACTGAACCCGATGCCACAACTCTGGTACCCGAAATACCACGTGTATAAAGCATTGATCCCAATTTTGTGGGTTCATTAAGTGGCAACTCATTGAAACACAATGCCAATGATATTGGATTGCCTTTTGTATCCAATAATTTACAATTGTATTTCTTTGCAATTGACTCTATTTTTTCTTTTAATTCATTAAAGAGTTGCTTACGTTTCCGACAGAGTTGTAGATAGCCATTTTTGCCTAACGATAATAAAGTCATAAAGACATCTAACGATTGTGAGGATGAGGCACGACCTGGAATTGAATGCAGATAAATGTTAAATAGTTCGATATAAAAAATTTATGTAAAAACCACCTGCATATGTTTTTGCTACATTGTGTACGATGGATTCATGAAAACCCGCCACAATGGCTCCACCAACTGGTACCATTAGATTTTTATCTGTACTTTGTATAAATAAATCTATTCTTCCCGTCCTTTGGCCCTGTTGCAGTTGGTGGCAGAGATAGGTACTTTGCAGACCATAGGCATTATTGACAATGTGAGGTAGGTCATGACGTTTTGCAATTTCTGCCAGCTGGACAATATCATCACAATTCCGTGGTGCAAAACAACTTGTGGTCGACATAATACACAGTATCTCTTCATTGTTCAGTCCACTAATTTGTTTTTCAAATTCCTCCAAATCTGTGCACAGACCTTCATTGTTTTCCACCCTTTGGGTATTTATTATGATGGGTATAAATCCTGCTGCCGTCATACTTTTAAAACATGATTTTTGATCTATACGTGACCAGAGAATATATCTGGCTTTGGGTCTTAATTTACGTAGACTTAAGAAACACAACGATAATGTCATTCCAGTGGCCATTGGTACTAGGAAACAGGCTTTACAACTTTGCACGCCCATACTGTGAATTAAATCCAAAAGTAAGGCATTGGTGAGTTGTGACACAATTGTAGATCCAACTGCTTTGGGTTGAGCTTCCAGCAAATCTCCAGATCTGCCAATACCATGACCTAGATTATAATGTCTTTTGGCAACTAAATCTGAAAACATGTTAAATATTAGAAGATTTCCTGGGTTTCAACTGAGTTACTTACTACAAGCGATCCTTGCTTCCCTCTCACCCAAACCCACATTATGGCCAAAGTTATTAGAATCCAATGCAGATAGCTGTTGCACCACCAGCTCAATGAGTTCATCACTCCAACCATCTTCTGGTAATTTACGCTAGACACCAAAGATAATAGTTTAAATATTAGCTACTATACTGGAATGTATCTTTCGATTTTTTATTTACCTTCTCCAAAAGTTCCTTGATTTGCACCTCTTTTGCCTTTTGCGATTCCACAGCCAACTTCAGATAATTGGCCGGTATTAGTTTTTCACTGATTTTTGTGTAATCCATGGTCAATAACTTCAACAAGTCTTAAATAAATGTTTAACATTTATAACAGTTGAAAGTATAACAGTAGTTTTCATGTATGGAGAGTACAAAGTCTTGCAGATGTTATTAACTGCGTATAAACAATAAACATGTGAATAAACGATATATCATAGAATCAAAACAAAAGGAATAACAGTGAGGGTTTTAGAATTCGAATTCAAATCCAAAAGGAAATTGAATGTAAATTATTCATTGTAAGGAACTAAATGAACCAGTGCCGGAATAAAAAAGAATAATATCGCTGTTGACATTTAACTGTCGATGTTGTTTTGTTTTGCGACCCTAAAAATATTTAAAAAAATTCCCGCCAATATAAAAAAATCCACGCATTTGAAAAAAAATTTAAAAAAATCCAAAAAAGCCCACGCTTTTGAAAAATATTTTAAAAAATCCACTCATTTAAAAAAAACCAAGCATTTAAAAAAAAAATATTCAAAAAAATCCACGCCTATGTTAGCACCTGAAAAAAATATTTTAAAAATCCACGTCTCTGCTGATCCTTGAATCAGTTGATCCTTGAAAGAATATGTTTTTAAGAAATTTATCGGTAACCCATTTAGTTACTGAAAAAAAATCATAAAAAACCCTACCTCAGTTGGTCCCTGAAAAAATATTTTTAATAAATACACGCCGTTGGTCACTAAAAAAAATATTTGAAAAAATCCACGCCTATGTTGGTCTCTGAAAAAAAATATTAAAAAATACCGCGCATTGGTGCTTGAAAAAATATTTTTAAATAATCTAAGCCCGTGCTGTTATATGGATCTGAAGCACGGCTACTTACGCAAGAAGATGAGGAAGCACTTGGAGTGTTTGAGAGAAAAATTCTCCGAAAGATTTATGGGCCGATATACGTTGACGGTGAATATCACCGTCGAATGAAACATGAGTTGTACCAGCTATTCTCGGATATCGACATTGTTAGACGTATTGAGCTGCAGCGACTACGTTGGTTAGATCATGTTGTGAGGATGGATGAAGATGCCCCAGCCCAGAAGGCATATAAAAGCGAACCAGCTGATGGTTCACGCAGAAGAAAAAGGCCAAGAATACGATGGAAAGATAAAGTCTAAGACAACATTGCCGAAAATGGTCTTTCAAATTGGAAAGACTGCGCAAAAGACCGACGCGCCTGGAAATCTTTTCTAAGCTCGGTTTATGGAACGAAAGTTCTGTCACAAGCCAGCTAAGTAAATAATTTAAGCCGCTGTTGGTCCCTGAAAAAATATTAAAAAAATTCGTCAAAAATATTTTTAAACAGTAAATAAAGTAGTGAAGTCGGACTGGGCCGACTATATGATACCCTTCACCACTTTGAGTATATTGTACATATGTATCCTTACAATTGCATGTCAATTTTCCCTCGAAGGAACATACTCATGTCTTTCTGCAACATATGCTAAATTTAATTTCATTCGGACAGATTTAGAGTCGTCTGCGTAACATGGGCCAAATTTATGGAAAGCCATATATAGAAACATTCGAAATACATATGGAAGCTATGGCTACATCTGGACCAATTTCAACAAAACACAATAACGTCATTCAAAGTGGGCCCTGGCTACGTCGTTGGGAGCTATATCTAAATCTGAACCGATTTTCACGAATCATAAAATTCATCGTTCTAGACTTAATTCAGTACGTTATGCCAAATGTCGTGCATATCAAAATCGGACAAAAATATATATGGGAACTATATCTAAATCTGAACCGATTTTTTCCAATTTCAATAGGGTTCGTCGTTGGGCCAAATAAATGAGCTGTGCCAAATATCATCCAATTAGAATCAAAAATGGGATCTGTACTTTGTTTACAATTTAACATGGACTGACGGAGAGATGGATGGAAGGACATGCATAAATCGACTCAGAAAGTGATTCTATGCATATTCTCAAAGGGAACCACGTGTCTATCTCGTTTCTTTTTGCCTGTTACAAACATATGCACAAAGACATAATACCCTGTACCACAGTGTGGTGAAGCGTATAAAAATACCCGCCTACGTTGGTCCCTGAAAAAATAGGTAAGAAAAACGACGCCTCTATAAAAAATTTTTAAAAAATCCACCTCTCTGTTGGTCTATGAAAAAAATATGTTTAAAAAAATCCACTTGAAACTGAAAATATTGATTAAAAAAATGTTTTGGTCCTTGGATTTTTTTTTAATTCCACACCTCTGCTGGTTCTTGAAAAAATCCTTCACAATGGAATTTTCCTTCTAAAACAACAAACCGACATAATACCATTTTAATTATTATTTATTTTGGATACGCCTGTATGGGCAAAAGTAAATATAATGAGCATAACAACCTAACCTCAATGAATGAAGGAAGGAATTATACTTACAAACAACACCACCACCTCCTTTCCTTTTGTCCTTTGTTCTTTACCTATTATTGCTTATTTTTCTTTTACTTTTTACTCAAGATCACAATAATCATGAAACGCAATTATAATCCTGATTTTGATCTTGATTTGTTGCTGTTGTTTTTTGTTGTTTGGTTTCTTTTGTTTTGCCACCGGATCTATTTTTTTTTTTGTTCAGTTTGAAGAGATTTACCTCCCCTTGTATGTTTTCTTTGTATTTGCACAGTAAAGAAAAAGAAAATATTGAATTTGATCTTGACACAAAAAAAAAAAACTTCGAAATATGTACTCAAGGATCATTACCGGAAAAAATGTGTGCGTTCCTTTACATTGTTTAATCCTTGAAATTTTTGAAAAAGGACATTTTTGTTCTATTTATACATAAATTGTGCGTGGAATATAATAAATCATAATAATAAATCATAGTTACGTACACATAGAACACTACGAATTCAAAGGACCAACATTCATGGACATTTGCATAATATTTTTAAAAATCTTTCAAGGTAATTTTTTTAAGTTCAAGGTCTATACAAAGGTGTGGATTTTTTAAAAATATTTTTTAAAGTTCAATACAAAAGCGTGGATTTTTTAAAAACTTTTTTTCAATGTCTATACAAAGGCGTGTATTTATATCCTTCACCACACTGTGGTACAGGGTATTATGTATGTCTTTGTGCATATGTTTGTAACAGGCAAAAGGAAACGAGATAGACACATGGTTCCTTTTGAGAATATGCGTAGAATCACCTTTTGAGTCGATTTATGTATGTCCGTCCGTCTGCCCATGTTAAACAAAGTAAAGGTCGTATTTATGATAAGAATTGGATGATATTTGGCACAGCTGAGTTATTTGGCCCAAGGACGAACCCTTTTGAAATTGGGAGAAATCGGTTCAGATTAAGTTATAGCTCCCATATATATTTTCCTCCGATTTTAGGTAAATAGTGCACCAAAGTCTCTAAATATCCTTCGATTTGCACGAAATTTGGCACAGCGTAATGAATTAGGTCTAGAATGATATGTGTTAAGTTTCCAGAAAATCGGCTCAGATCTAGATATAGTTCCCATATATATATTTGTCCGATTTTTTGAAAATGGTGCACCAAAGTCCCTATATATCCTTCGATTTGCACGAAAATATATTTGGCCCAAGGACGAACCCTATTGAAATTGGGAGAAATCGGTTCAGATTAAGTTATAGCTCCCATATATATTTTCCTCCGATTTTAGGTAAATAGTGCACCAAAGTCCCTAATATCCTTCGATTTGCACGAAATTTGGCACAGCGTAACGAATTAGGTCTAGAATGATATGTGTTAAGTTTCCAGAAAATCGGTTTAGATTTAGATATAGCTCCCATATATATTTTCGTCCAATTTAATGTAAATGGTGCACCAAAGTCCCTATATATCTTTCGATATGCACGAAAATTGGCATAGCGTTATGAATTAGGTCTAGAATGATGTGTGTTAATTTTCCTGAAAATCGGTTCAGATCTAGATATAGCTCCCATATATATTTTCGTCCGTTTTAATGTGGGTGGTGCACCAAAGTCCCTATATATCCTTCGATTTGCACGAAATTTTGAAACTGAATACTGAAAGTCTAGGAATATGTGTGTTAAATGTCGTGAAAATCGTTTCAGATTTAGATATAGTTCCCATATATATTTTCGTCCGATTTAATGTAAATGGTGCACCAACGTCCCTGAAAATCATTCCATTTGCACGAAATTTGGCACAGCGTATTTAGTTAAGTCTGGACTGATGTGTTTTAAGTTTCGTGAAAATCGGTTCAGATTTAGACATAGCTCCCATATATAATTTCGTCAAATTTAAGACCCTAAATATCTTTCGATTCGCACGAAATTTGGCGTAGCGTAATGAATTAGGTCTAGAATTATGTGTGTTAAGTTTCCTGAAAATCGGTTCAGATTTAGATATAGCTCCCATATATATTTTTGTCCGATCTAGGGTAAATGGTGCGCCAAAGTCCTATATATCTTTTGATATGCACGAATTAATTAAGTTTGGAATAATTTGTGTGGATTTTTTTTTTTTTTTAATATATTTTTCAAAATCTATACAAAGGCAAAGGTTCATATTCCATTCTTTTTCAAACCAAGCGGAAAAGCAACACGTAACATCTGGCAAAATAACGAATAGCAAAGACAAAAGAAAAAATAGCGAAATAATTTGAAAACAAATCATACAAAAACATCGAAATAATTTGATAAACGCAGAAAAAGAGGATCACACAATAGGGGCCATCCATTGATGATGACCATTTTTTTAGTATTGAAATGAAATAAGAGGATGGATGAAACAAGTTCAAACAAAAGGATTCCAGCGTAGCAACAAAACAAAGACAACAACAGAAGCAACAGCAAGGATATTAATGTGAAAAAGGAGCATCTCTGCCAGTTGAAGACAATGGAATTGGGAATCCGGTTTTTGTTTGTCTGTTTCTTTTTTTTTTTTGAGTCTCAACAAACGACAAATGTGAAGCGTCTTCGTAAATTCGAAAGCTACGAAGAAAAATGGCCACGTAATAAAAACGCGTTTACTTCTGTTTTATTTGGGGATGGATGAATGGATGG